CGTGTTCGACTGCGCCCGGCCGCGCCGGGGCGGCGGCGCCCACCCGGCGGCAGCGTATCGATTCAACGACGAGAACGCCCTGGCTGCCGCGCACGGCGGTCTCCAAACCGAGCCGGCCGGGGTTCTCAAGCTCGGCGGCGGGAGCGGGGCCGGAAAATACCGAACGCGGGGCGAAAGGGTCACCTTTTTACTCGCCGACGAGAAAGCCGCAGAGGTCGGAGAGCCTGACCGCGGGGGCGCTCGGGTCACGCTCGGCGTAACGGAGACGGCGCGGCGGGGCCGGCGGCTGCGGCAGCGGCGGCCCGCGCCCGGAGGCGCTGGCCGGGTGCCGTCCACGGTCGTCGGCAACACAACACCCTCGGCGAGTACGTTGGTGAGAACGACGGCCCGTGCAGTGCCGGTCTCCAGGCCGGAGCCGGGGCGGCGGCAGCGCTCGGTAAGCGCTTCTCACAGGAGACCTATGACAGGGCACTGGTAGTGGGTCCGCGCTGACCGCTGCGCCGGCTGTGCTCAGTCACAGGCCTGGGGTCGTGACCGACGCCAGTCTGGTGCGCCTCGCGCCTCCTCACAACGGCACAACAACGCGCGCAGCTGTAGTTAACATAATACGACTGGCTCCTTGTCGTCCGTAACGGCTAGTGCAAATTGCACTGATCCATGCTCTGCTTTCCACGTAGAATGGGGCATAAATATCAGTACCACGCTATGCATGCCAGTGCACTGAATCAGTCTGATGGGATAGCCAGCCAGCCGGCGTGTGGCGAAAAGGCCCGGAGATCGCAAGGTGGCTAAGACAGCAGACCAGCCACAGTCGGTGGCATCCCCCCAGACCAACAGCCTCGCAGATCGTAAGGTGGCTAACGCGGCAGACCAGCCACAGCCGGTGGCATCCCCTTCAGACCAGCAGCCCCGCAGATCGCAAGGTGGCTAAGACAGCAGACCAGCCACAGCCGGTGGCATCCCCTTCAGACCAAGAACTCGTGAAGACCGCTCGTGAAGAACCGATGTCTCCCCTTTTCGTCCGCCTGCGCGTACTCCCCCCCCCCCCCAGCGCCAGCGCCCGTCCGGCTGGGTCGGGTCGGGTAGGGTCGGGTCGGGTCAACACCGCGCCAGCCGACGAGCTCCGCCACAGGCACAGAGCGTGACATTCACAGTGGTATTGGAGGACAGGGGGATATTCCCGCGAGGACAGGGCTTCGGGCTCTGTCAGGGCTCTGTCCTCCGTGTGGAAAGGAAAGTACAAGCGAACAGACACCGCGCGGAGAACGCCGAACGCGAGGCAGGGCGGCGGGGCGGCGAGAGCGACGGGACAAGTCGGCCAATAACAGCCCTACAATTCACTGACGCACGTAACGGGTAAGACCATTAGTGTCTAAATATTTCACACGGTTGACGGGTCGGACACGGGGAGAACGGGCAGAGCGTGGCGCCTGTGGAGGGCGGGCCGAGCGTGGCGCCTGTCGTGGCGCCTGTGGAGGGCGGGCCGAGCGTGGCGCCTGTGGAGGGCGGACCGAGCGTGGCGCCTGTGGAGGGCGGGCCGAGCGTGGCGCCTGTGGAGGGCGGGCCGAGCGTGGCGCCTGTGGAGGGCGGGCCGAGCGCGGCGTCTGTGGAGGGCGGGCCGAGCGTGGCGCCTGTGGAGGGCGGGCCGGGCATGGCGCCTGTGGAGGGCGGGCCGAGCGTGGCGCCTGTGGAGGGCGGGCCGAGCGTGGCGCCTGTGGAGGGCGGACCGAGCGTGGCGCCTGTGGAGTGCGGGCGCCCAATGACGGCCGGCCGGACGGCTGCCAGGGAATGGCCTGAGAATCTGGACAATCACGACAGCGAACGCACAGACAAGCAAACAAAAGTCAGTGTGGATAGACGCTGGGCGACCGGCTCTAATCGTATATTTGGATTTAATTGTTTCATTCTGCCTCCTATATTTGGGAGCTATTCGTCGAACCGACGATGTTATTTTCATATGAGTGCGGAAGGCCTTCGTCCAGCGGTTTCTCGTGTTGAGTTTTATGATAAAAACATCATACACTCTCCGTACCCGGAGGTACTAGTTACACACCGTTACGGAGTCATCACTAGTTACATCGCATCACACATCACACATATCTCATCACTGGTGATGTGAGTCATCACAACACATCACATCACACACCATAATGGAGCCATCGCACTGATGTGAGAACACTCACATTAGTGAGTGTTCTCGTGATGAATGCTTCGAGGCGGTCAAAACGTCGAGCGTTCTCGACATGTTCTCGGCGTTTTCGTTCTCGAAAAGGCAGTCATGGCCACGAATGAGCCAGGTCAATGTCATCAAGCATACAAGCCAATCATCGGGAATGTCGTCGACAACCGCGACCTGAAGACCCGAAGCACCTCAGACCCGACCCGAGCCGACCCGACCCGACCCGACCCGACCCGACCCGACCCGACCCGACCCGACGCGACGCGACGCGACGCGACCCGACCCGACCCGACCCGACCCGACCCGACCCGACCCGACCCGAAACCGACCCGACCCCCGACCCGACCCGACCCGACCCCCGACCCGACCCGACCCGACCCGACCCGACCCGACCCGACCCGACCCGACCCGACCCGACCCGACCCGAAACCGACCCCCACCCGACCCGACCCGAAACCCAGACCCGAAAGGCCCGAAGCTATCCCACATTTCGCGCGCCCGGCGGGGTCGTAGCAGCCGCGGTCGCCGCGCTCCACAGAAGGCGAACAGAGTCGCAGGCGCACGGTCGGACCCGCGGCACGGACGGGCAGACGGCGGCAGGCAGGGGCGGGGGAGGATCTGACACAGCCCGCCACCTACCGTCGCAGGCGCACCGAGCCCGTCTGGCCCATCCCGGGCCGGCCGGAAGGTCACGCTGTCCAGTCCCCAGCTCAGGTGGTCCCGTCCGGCGGTCCGATGTCGTGGTCCGTGCCGTGGTCCGGTCCCGTGGTCCGGTTCGCCGGCACTGTCGGGACGCGCCTCTCCCCGCTCGGCGGCGGGCCAGCGTCACCGAAGCCCCACAGCCATGGCCGGCGGCAGCGGCCGAGCCGTCACCGTCCTCCACGGGCCGACGATAGCCGGGTGCCCTATCGCGACTGTTACGTCACACACGTGACGGCGCCGGCTCGAGCCGTCCGCCGTCCTCCACGGGCCGACAATAGCCGGGTGCCCTATCGCGACTGTGACGTCACACACGTGACGGCGCCGGCTCGAGCCGGCCGCCGGCATCGCGGCCGCTAGCTGCCGGCCGTCCTGGCGACGGCAGTTGTGTCGACGCTGACCGATGTAATGATGGGGGGGGGGGGGGGCGCTGGGCTTATGGCGACTGAGGGGAGCGGCGCGGCTGGAGCGGCACACCCTCTGTGCACTCAATTCACTGGCGAACGGGCACCAGAGGCAGCACCAGCGTCAGCTCCACCAGCGGTGTGCGCACCAGCGGCGGTTTCAACTCCGGCGGCCTCAGTCCCAGTCCCCCCGAAGTGCCATCCGTCGGCGTCCAGGGGGCGGCACCAGCGCTCCCGACATACCACCGCCAACGCCAGCGCCACTGACGTACCACCGCTAGCACTGGCACCCGGACCAAATAGCATCGGCAACAGCATCGTCAGCAGCCTCGTCGCCAGCGCCGGCACCACAGCCCTCCCCCACCCACTGCACTCCGGAGGGAGGGGGGGAGGGGGCGGAGACCGGCAGCGAACGGAGCCGGCGCCGAGCAGACGGCGCATGCCGCTGGCTCAGCCCAGCGGCAACGGTGCTGACACGTCCGGCCGACGCTCCACGTCAACCCGTGACGTCACGGCTGACGTCACTCTGGCTGCCGATAGCATATCATGGCCGCTGCGCTGCCCCGGTAATCAGACCAGACAGCCGGCGGCCGGCGCTGATTGGCTGGCCAGCGTCCTCACGCCGCGTTTGGGAACGGCTTCGCCCGCACGCACACGGTGCCGGCAGGCCCGTGACGTCACGGCCGCCGTCAGCGCCCGAGCGCCACGAGACGGTCTGGCCTCGCTCGGCACGCGGTATGGCCGGCGAAGTCTGTGATTTGTAATAAAATAAATCCACCGCGGGCACTGCCATAGCGCGTATCTGCCGGCGACTATAAGTGCCTACTGATCCATTGGTTCCGGTGTGCTGCCTTCGTCACGTCGCGTTTTGAAGGCGCCTTTTTATTTGGCGCTTTTGGCGATCCACTGTGAGCGTACGCCGCCAAGAACGTGGATCTCTTCTTTACAGCGTCCCCTGGCAACGGAGGGGAGCCGGCCGGGCCCAGCGGGTGACGGCCCTCCGGCTCGGCGCGGTGCAGCGGCGCCGCGGCCCGTCGGCGGTGAGTCGCGTCGAGCCCGCACACGCGTCGGACCGCTCGATGGACCGCTTAACCTTGCGCTACCTCCAGCCCCTGCCGCCCTCGTCCTCCGGAGGTGCTCATCCAGCCCCTTCCGCCCTACGGAGCCGCTCCTCCAGTCCCTGACGCTCTCGTCCTCCGGAGATGCTCATCCAGCCCCTTCCGCCCTACGGAGCCGCTCCTCCAGTCCCTGCCGCCCTCTAGAGGTGCTCATCCAGCCCCTTCCGCCCTACGGAGCCGCTCCTCCAGTCCCTGCCGCCCTCTAGAGGCGCCCATCCAGCCCCTTCCGCCCTACGGAGCCGCTCCTCCAGTCCCTGCCGCCCTCTAGAGGCGCCCATCCGGCCCCTTCCGGCCTCCGGAGGCGCTCATGCAGCCCCACCGTTCTTCCACGGGGCTCCTCCAGCATCACGGTTCTCCAGTGGGGTTCCTCCAGCACCACGGTTTTCCAGTGGGGCTCCTCCAGCCCCACTGTTCTCCTGTGGGGCTCCTCCAGCCCACTGTTCTCCTGTGGGGCTCCTCCAGCCCCACCGTTCTTCCGCGGGGCTCCTCCAGCATCACCGTTCTTCCGCGGGGCTCCTCCAGCACCACGGTTTTCCAGTGGGGCTCCTCCAGCCCCCTCCGCGCGGCTTCGGCAGCGTCCAGCCCGCTGGCGCCACTCACCTCTCGTCGTCGTCGCAGAGCGTGTCCGAGTCCTTATCGAAGTCGGCCATCAGGTCGTCGGAGCCCAGGCTGTCGGTGGGCGAAGCCAGGTCGCGTAGTTCTGACACCCGCCGCCAGGAGGACGCACGCCGCGGTCGGCAGCCAGACAGCGCTGACGGACGGGCGGACAGACAGGTGAGAAGACCGAGCGACGACACAGTACGACGCACCGGGCGGTGACGTGGCCCATCGGTGTAACGTTGCCACATTCAGGGGAAGCTCTTGAGCTGCGCGGGTGCCCAACAGTGGCAAACACTTCTGGACTTAAAACAAAAACATGACTCTCAGGCTAAAATTAAAACCAGGATCGAATTTGGTGGCGCTGGAACAAAAGTCGGCGAAACCTCTGCTACCATCATCCCCGGACCCCCGGACACAGCACTCCGAGGAGAGGTGTCGCAAAATTCGTCCAGTCGGGTGTGCAGGATGTAAATATAAACTCAAGCTACCATAATCCTGGCCCTCTGGCGCCTCCGAATCCCATCCGTTGGTCCCAGTCCGGTGCCCCTTGGCCAGAGCCCAGACATCTGACCTGGCCGGCGCACTTGTCAAGCCTGAGGCGCTTAGACGCGGGGTTGACCACTGCCCCGCTCGATGCCGACTGACCGGTTTTGAACAGGGGTGGGGTACAGACGGTGACCCCCAAGCCGGAGGTGTGGTACCAGAAAAAAATGTTGACATTCCTACCACCGAAGAGGCTGGGTTTTGAGACGCTACTGAGAATCCAACTCCATGCCACAATCGGCCACGTATTGCTCCGCTCTGGCCATGACGGCACGCCGCGTCTCCCGTCTACCGGCTCGCCTCCTCTCACCTGCGTCGTGCGTCTCCAGGTCGCTGAGTGTGTCCTCGTCTCGCTCGATCGTCTCCCCGGACGGCTGCCCGGGCCGGCTCGTCCGCCGCTCCGGCTCCGCAGACTCCTCCCGCGCCGACCTCGGCCTGTCCCGCGACTCGTCACGCTCGTCCAGAGCAGGTCCCGGCTCGTCCCGGAGCTTCGCAGACTCGTCCAGCGCCGGTCTGGGCCCGTCGCGCGCCTTCACCGACTCGTTCCTGGCCTGGATCGGGTCGTCCTGTCGGCGGGGCTCCTCGTCCTTGGTCTGAAGCGCCTCATTCCGAGCCTGCACGAGCTCGTTCCGTTCCTGGTCAGCCTCATCCTTGCCTGGCCGGGCTCGTTTTGTCCGGCGCCGGCTCGGGCAGCCCCAGCCGCTGGTAGGTGGAGCCCAGGATCGGGTGCACGCGCTTCCTCCGCCGGCCGCGGCAGGCGGCGCGCCAGCCGCTCCGCCCGCTCCTCCATCTGTTGGCGGCGTGCCGAAGGCTGACGTTGCCCTCGGCGTCCGCCGGGCGGCGCACGGCGTCTCGAGCGTGGTCAGTGCCTGCAGGGGGCGCGGTGTGAGGCGGAACGGGCGCACGTACTCGCCGCTGGCCGGCTCTGTGATGCGCAGCGGCGGCAGCGGCGGCGTCTCGGCTCCCCAGCCATCAGCTCCTCCAGGAACACGTCCGACGCCAGGGCTGTCGGCGCCGAACGCGCCGAACGCCGGCTGGTCGCCGATCTCGTCGTCGATGAAGTCCTCGGCGCCGCGCGAGTCGTGCGCGGCCAGCAGTGGCGACAGCTCGCCGGCCTCGCCACCGGCGCTGGCGGCCGGCGCCGGCGGCGGAGGCGAGCCGCCCAGGTCTGTGCAGGTACCGGTGTCGCGTAGCCGCGGGCGGTGCAAACGGCGAGGTGGCCACGTCCGCGCGTCAGCTGGCGCATCTCGCGGCGGAGGCCGGCCAGCGGCGCGGCGGCCTGGCTCGGCCGGCGGCCGGCGACCGGCGGCGCCGCCTGCTTGCCGCACCCTGTCCACGCGCTCCTCCCAGCGCGTGACACGACTGCGCACCGTCTGCTCGAGGCCCGAGCGGAGCGGCAGCGCCAGCGGCGGCGGCGACGGACGCGCCAGGAGCGGCGGCCTGGCCGCGCTGGCGACTGGGCGCGCTCCGGAGGCCGCTGGCGCCGCCGCCGGCCGCGTCAGGCCCGCCGGCTGCGTGAAGCCGAAGCCGGGCCGCTGGATCTGCGTGACGCGCGTCCTCACGCCGGCGTCGCTAACGGTGACGCGCGGCCGGCCGAGCGCGGCGTTCGCGCCCTTGTGGATGTTGACCGAGAGGGCGATGGTGGCGTCCTGCGTGCGGATGCCCACCTGGAAATCGCCGGGCGTCGACGCGCCGCCGGCTCCGGGGTACGCCTCCACCGGCGACGGCGAGGTCTGCTCGGCTTGGCGTGGTCGTGCCCAGGCTGCTGGTCGGCGATCCTCCCAGCGTGCCGACGCCGGAGTCGTCCAGTTTGGTCTGTTCGCCGCCGCGCGGCGCTGGTGCGCTGGTGCGCGGCTTGACGCGCGCCACCTGCGGGCCGCGGCAGGCCGCGCCGCGCCGCCGCCGGCGCTCGGTTGCCGTTGGCGGTCGCTGGCGGCACTCGAGCTCGACTGCAGGCTGTCGGTGGAGGAGGAGCCGGCGCCGGTGCCGGTGGCGGCGGCGGTGCGGCGGGCCGGCGGCGCCGAGTCGGTGGGCAGAACGCGGGCCGGTGCGCCGCGCCGCCGGAAGCCGAAGGCGTGACCGGGCGGGCCGGCCTGGCGCGGGTACGGCGCCGTCCGGTTCATGGCCGCCTTCTGTCCGACGGGGAGAGAGCGCGGTCAGACGGTGCGGCGGAGGGGGCGGGGGAAGGGGGAGGTCAGCTGGAGAGCGGGGCGATTCAGCAGTCACAATCCGATGATGGAGAGAGAGAAAAAAAGAGAGAGAGAGAAAGAAAGAAAGAGAAATGAGAGAAGAGAAAGAGAAAGAGGAAAGAGAAAGAGAAATGGAAAGTGAAGGGAAAGTGGAAAGAGTAAGAGCAAGATAAAAGAGAAAGAGAAAGAGAAAGGAGAAGAGAACTGAGGAAAAGAGAAAGAGACAGAGAAATGAGAAAGGAAGAAATAGAAAAAGAGAAGAGAAAGAGAAAGAGAAAGAATAAAGAGAAAGAGAAAGAGAAAGAGAAAGAGAAGAGAAAGAGAAGAAAAAAGAGAAAGAGAAAGAGAAAGATGAAGAGAGAAAGAGAAAGAGAAAGAGGAAAAGGAAAAGAGAAAGAGAAAGAGAAAGAAGATAAGAGAAAGAGAGAAAGAGAGAGAAAGAGAGAGAGAGAGCAGAGAGAGAGGAGATATGATAGAGAAGAGAGAGAGAGGAGAAGATAGGAGAGAATAGAGAGAGAGAGAGGAGAGAGAGAGAGAGAGAGGAGAGAGAGATAGAGAGAGAGAGAGAGAGAGAGGAGAGAAGAGAGGAGAGAGAGAGAGAGAGAGAGAGAGAGAGGGGGGGGGGGGGGAAGGCCAGGCCAGGGGTGTTCGGGCGAGGAGAAACAGTGGCAATCGTGCAAACATCGATAACAGTGGAGGATGGGAGTGAGGAGCTGTGCAGACAGCACATAGTAACTGAACAGACAATACAGAAACACGGAACATACAGCACAGAGTAACTGAAGACAGTACAGAGTCACGAAAGAGAGCAGAGTCACGGAGGAGAGCACAGAGTCACGAAGCAGAGAGCACAGAGTCACGAAGCAGAGCACAGAGTCGGAGCAGAGCACAGAGTCACGGAGTAGACAGCACAGTCTCGTAGCAGAGCGCACAGAGTACCAGAGCACAGAGCAGTAAACAGACCATTAGTCGGCGAACAAGTCGAGCCGTTCAGGGCACCAGCAGAGCACCAATCAAACGCCATTCCACCGCCGGCAACAGCACCGACCATCACCAGGTAGACCAGCCAGCTGGTTGGTTACCTAGGCAACCGACCGTTCGGCAGGTGAGCGACTCTTCTGATTTGATAACCTCTGACAACCTCTCGCCGAGCTAAGCGTCTGCCCCCCGACGCCCGTTAGCAGCCCGTCTACCGCGTGAGTATCCGTCGCCCGCTTACCGCGAGCGCCCTCCGTCGGCCGGCTGACTTGCCGATAACAAACAAACAAAAAAAAACATTTTAACTTGTGTAACTCGAAAGCTAGCAGCTGGAATTCGAGCTTTCAGAATCAGTTCTCATGTTCCACAATATTTGCCCTTGACCAAGAAGCTCAATGGAGGTGTCCCATGCATTCAACCGAGCACGGCTGCGGCAGACTGTGACAGTCCGGACACTCGTCTCATGCGCTTACATGACGTGCGTTACAACTTCAGCTTCAGGCCATGGACATCTACCGAGCCGGCACGCAGTCCTACAGGACTGCCGTAAAAGCGCTGCATCACTCGTGAATTCCAGGTTCGGGTTATGGACATCTACCGAGCCGGCACGCAGTCCTACAGGACTGCCGTAGGAGCGCTGCATCACTCGTGAATTCTAGGTTCGGGCTATGGACATCTACTGCCCACGTTGAAAAAAAAACACCTTTAAGGCTCCTACAGGGATCCTGCGGGACTCGTGAATGTTCACACCAGAGTTCAGCACAAGCTCTGAAGGATCTGAAGATCTTCAGCGTGAGGGGAGTGAGGGTAATACGCCATCACACGTCACTTCAGGGACAGCATCGCGCATCATCAGAGCGCCGCGGCCGAGCCCCATCTGTATGAGATGGCACTAAAATAATGCGATGGCGGCAAAGAAGACGCGAGCCAAAGTCGTGACGAATCCTCACAGTTCAATTCAAACACCGAACGCGTGTTCAAAGAGCCCCGACTAGCTTAACTTGGGGCTGGGATGGACAAGGGACTGGAGGGAAAGGGCGGCCACAAAGTGCTGGCGTTCGTCTGTCGGTCGCGCACCGCCGCTCTAAGCGGAAGCCGATCGATAGCCGTCGGGGCCGGCGATAAACAACACAACGTCCGATACGTCGCCTTCCTGCAGCACCCGCCCACGTGACGCCTCGTGCCAGGTGCGGCGCAAGGGCACCCCAGCTCGCCACCAGCACCCGCCGCCGGCCGTGACCCCAGGGTCGGTCGGCGGGCGGCGGCGCCATTTGCGAGCCGGCGGCACCCCAGCTCGCCACTGGCACCCGCCGCCGGCCGTGACCCTGGGGTCGGCCGGCAGGCCAACGGCATCCCCAGCTCGCCACTGGCACCCGCCGCCGGCTCGTGACCCCGGGGTCGGCCGGCGGGCCAACGGCATCCCCAGCTCGCCACTGGCACCCGCCGCCGCCCCGTGACCCCGGGGTCGGCCGGCAGGCCAACGGCATCCCCAGCTCGCCACTGGCACCCGCCGCCGCCCCGTGACCCCGGGGTCGCCCGGCAGGCCAACGGCATCCCCAGCTCGCCACTGGCACCCGCCGCCGGCTCGTGACCCCGGGGTCGGCCGGCAGGCCAACGGCATCCCCCAGCTCGCCCCTGGCACCCGCCGCCGGCTCGTGACCCCGGGGTCGGCCGGCAGGCCAACGGCATCCCCAGCTCGCCACTGGCACCCGCCGCCGGCTCGTGACCCCGGGGTCGGCCGGCAGGCCAACGGCATCCCCAGCTCGCCACTGGCACCCGCCGCCGGCTCGTGACCCCGGGGTCGGCCGGCGGGCCAACGGCATCCCCAGCTCGCCACTGGCACCCGCCGCCGCCCCGTGACCCCGGGGTCGGCCGGCAGGCCAACGGCATCCCCAGCTCGCCACTGGCACCCGCCGCCGCCCCGTGACCCCGGGGTCGGCCGGCAGGCCAACGGCATCCCCAGCTCGCCACTGGCACCCGCCGCCGGCTCGTGACCCCGGGGTCGGCCGGCAGGCCAACGGCATCCCCAGCTCGCCACTGGCACCCGCCGCCGGCTCGTGACCCCGGGGTCGGCCGGCAGGCCGGCGGCACCCCCAGCTCGCCACTGGCACCCGCCGCCGCCCCGTGACCCCGGGGTCCGACGGGGAGCTGCGGCGCCGTTTGCGAGCCGGCGGGAGGCGGTGGCGGCTGTCGGGCCGATAACTTGGCTCCCCCGCCGTGAACGGCCGGCACATGCTGTACTGCGCAACGGCAGTGCCCTATCGTGCCGCCTCGACGACGTGGGAACGACCGCCCTGAGTTATGGGCGACTACTGAACCTGGTCAAAAGGCCGTCCTGCAGGCACCATGACGAACGGCGACAGCAAACGCAACAAGCAACTAATTAAACAAGGAGGGAAACTACTACAAAATAAAACATAAACAAATACAAAGACCTAGTGTTCCGGATTTGCCAGTGAAAGCTGTTCATCCATGTTCGCTTATGCCCCGCGAGGCCCGTCATGGTCGCAGCCTAGCTTCTTCAGGCTGCCAGTGCTAAGACAGCGCGACCAAACGCCGACAAGCGTTCCACCAGTCAAACTAGCCAACCGCCGCAGCGGGTACCGCGAGACCTGCCGGCGGACAGCGAGCCACCGACACGTGACCGGCCCGCCAGCCCCGGCGGACAGCGAGCCAACGACACGTGACCGGCCCGCCAGCCGTCCGCGACACCGCGTCGGCGGTCGGTCGGTTGGCTGATGGATGACAGCAGCAGTACCGCCGCGCTACCGGCGGCCGATCTAGGCCGGCGCCGTCGCCTCCGGCCCGGAGCCGTCACCGCTCCGCCGACCCGCCACAGCGGAGCCGGCGGCCGATCTCGGCCGGCCACGGCGGAGCCGGCGGCCGATCTCGGTCGATGCCTGAGGAGCAGCGGCCGGATGCCGTGCGTGCTTGGATAACTCCGATCACATAGCTCACGGTCGGCAGGGATTAAAGTCAGACAGGGACAATGCGATGACCTGGGGGTCAGCACTAGCCCGAAGGGTCAGCGCCAGCGCGGGACAGAAACGGGGCTGACCTGAGCGCATAAGGTGCGACG